TGCCAGGGATGCCAGCTTGGCACCAAGGCATGCCCGTGCCTCAAACAGAGCAGTGGAACTGCTGCCCGCAGCCGCTACACACCCACTGACCCTGGCAGCCATGGAAAGATGGGGCCCAGGAACCCCCCCACCAGGCATCTCGGTGGGAAGGCAGCAGGGTCCCCCAAACCACAGGACCCCCAGTGACATGCCTCCCTCCTTCCACCTCCTCTGCTCACACTGCCCTCCCCACTGCTCGTGCTGGATAATGGCAGGAAGTGGTGAGCAGCCCCTTCCCACCCTGCTTCTTCCCCTCCACTGGCAGCACCATGGCGCAGGGACCCCTACTGGCTGCACCCCAGCCCCCTCAGCAGTGCCGTCCCGCTGACGCCCATGGGTGCTGGTGGGGGTGCTGATGCCTTCCCCTCTCTGGATAGGTATAAATAACATGACAGATGTCTATACAAAGAGTTATTCATATCGCTGCCAACCAGCGCAGCCCAAGAGCAGGAGCTGGAAGGGACGTGGGGGGGAGAATTATAAATAAAAGACACTGTCCTGCAAAAAAAAAGGAAAAAAAAAATGGCAGGAAGGGGTGTGGAGGAGGAGGCGGAGGAGGGAGGGGGTGCTTCGCTGCACCGCCGGGGGCACAGTGCTTTTGAGGAGTGTACTGACATGCCAGCAACAGGCACCACAGACCTCAGTGGGTCGGTGACTACTGCTGCAAGTGCATGGGGCAGACAAAGCACCCACCAACACATAGCCCCCTCACCTCCGGTCAGGTGGTCACCCTGTCCAACACCTGTGGCTACGGCATCCACTAAACCTCTGGGAACATCCTGTCAGTCACCAGCCAGCCTGTCTGACCCTGTTCTGCTCCAAATGGGCCAAGCAGCTCCATATTTATCCCATGAGATAGATGGGGCAAATGGCTCCATGCCCACCCCACCAGGCACCATCTGGTGCCACCAGACCCACACACACCCCCCTGGTCCCGTTGGTACCTTGGAGTAGAGCCCCCAGGAGAGCTCGGTCTCAATGACCATGACGACAATGCCAAACATGCCGAAGATGAGCGCGTAGTCGCTGAGGCGCTTCCTCTTCTCGAACAGTGCCCGGCGGTGCCCAAGCCGGTAGCCAATGTTCTGCGCCTTGCGCTTGGGCCCCTTGGCAAAGGTGGTGGGGGCCGGCCGGGCAGGCGGGCGGGTGGGACGGTGGGTGGCGGGCGCATGGTTGTCCTCGCGTGAGACAACAATTTCAGGGGGTTCACCGGCACCAAAGAGCTGCAGGGGTTGTGCCTCCGGCTCGGCCTCGATGAGGTTCCGTCGGGATGCGCTGAGTCGGCTGAGGGGCTTCATCACCCCCCCGCTGTACTTGCAGGAGCTCATGGCAATCTCGGTGAAGGGGTTGCTGTCCCGCCGATGAACCAAGGGGCTGGGCTGCCGGTGTTTGCTGCTAACCACCCCAGAGCCCGCTGGGTGGTCGCCGAGGTTGAGCTGGCTGCCGTGGCGGGAGGAAGGGTGGAGGGCGGCGGGGGCGGTGGGAGGAGGAGGAGGGGCCCGTAGCGACCCGGGCGAGGAGTGCAACAGGCTGTGCTGAAGCGGCGGCAGCGCGGAGGGCGGCGGCGGTGACCGTTCATCCCCCGGTAACGGGCAGGGACACCGACCATCCTCCTCCAAGTCCCCCACGCCCGAATCGTGGAGATGCCCCGATGTCTCCATGACGGCGGTACCGGCGCCGCTTTACAGGGCACCGGTTCCGCTTTACCTGCCACCGGCCCCGTTCGCTGGATCATGAATGGGCTCCGTGCTCTCGCCGCTATCGCCGCCGCCACCGCCCCCGCCGCTGCCGCTGGCCCGGCCCCGCAGCGCCATTGGCCACGCTGGGGCTCCCCGCAGGCTGACATCATCCCCGCCCGCTCCCCGCTTTGTATCTCCCCCCCATCACACCCCCGGTTCCTGCATCTCTGCGGGGTCGTTCGGGACTTGTAGTGCACCGGGTTGCACCAGGCACCAGTACCCGTACGCCCCGACGGACAAGTCCCGAACGACCCATCTGTTTAACCCATTTGGTTCCCCCACGGGCATCCCCCCTCCTTTTATATAATCCCCTTAATCCGTTTATAGAGGCTGAAGATTACAAGCAGCGGCCAGAGCAGGTGTTCCCATCCTGGGAGTGGGTCACCCCATGGATGGGGGGCATGGTGTGTGTTTCATGATGTCCCCAAGGTCCAGGGTCAGGGTAATGGTAGACCCAGAGTATGGGACATGTACATATAGCTGTATCTAGGGCCATAATACCCCCTCAAAATGCCCAGCCCAACCAGGAACCACCACCCCCACCCCATGCCATGCACAGCTGTTGCAGGAGAGGAGCAGATGAGAGTGTATGAGTTTGGGAAGCAAATAGGGAATTGGCTGCTAGAAACCTTATTAAAAGACACCATGAAATATCCAACTGGTGACCCCCTGCTTGGAAAGAAGGTATTGAACTGCACTTCTGCCTCCCAAAAGCTGAGAAACCCATGGTGGGGGTGGAGCAGGATCACCTGTGTGTCCCTTCCCCAGAAATGAGACAGACCCAGCGTGGCAGCGGTTCTCAGCGTCAGAGCTTTATTCCAGAACAGGAAGCATGCTAAAGGAGGTGGAGGGGGAGATGCTGAGGGGCTGGGGGGAAGGGGAGGATGATGCAGTCCCCAAGCCCCAGTGGAGAGACATGGAGCTATAGGCTCCTGTGGAGTGACTGCACCAGCATCTCCAGCTGCTCACCCAGGGCCACCTTATCTCCGTCATTGGTGATCACCCAATCAAAGGCCACTCCCTGGTCCAGGCCACATTCAGAATCAGTGTCATCCACCCCTGGTAGCACAGAACCCAAGGATGGTCAGGATCTGTCTATCTGTACCCCCTACCATGGCCTCACCCCCCAGAGCTGGGGGCTTCGATCCAAAGCCTCTTGCTCCCACTGCCAAGGAACAGCAGTGGAAGCAGCAGACCTGTGCCCATTGGGCAACCCCAGTTTTGGTGTCACACTAGGTGAAGCTGCCCCACACTTGCTCACCATTGACAAAGACCCAGTTCCTCCTCTTCCTTGTCTCCTCAGTAGCCACCACCCGGACAGTCTGCACCACATCCCCATAGGCGTCCCGGAACCACTCCACATCTGAGAGGCGCCGTGTGTCACTCACCACCTGCGCAGGGGCTCCATCAGCACCTGTCCTCCGCCCCCAGTGCCCCCATGTACTCCCCAAAACTTACCCACACTGGCTGCAGCGCCCCCTCCACTGCTGCCCGGCAGAAGAAGCCAGGGTCACTGTGGCGCTTCTCTTCGCCCCAGCGGATCATGTCCTGACGAAACATCTCCTTGTAGGCGCTGGCATCCAGGAGTCGCTGAAAGTTGAGACCATGCTCCTGTGGGGAAGGGGGTTCAGTGGGCATGGTCTGGGCCAACGAGCATGGCATGGCACAGCCACAGATGTTGTGACATGCCATGCCTCAGCACAGCATGATGGAATGGGATGGCTCAGTACAGCACAGCATGCAACAGCTTGGCACGAAATGGCACAGCATGATCGTGGGATGGCATAACTTGGCACAGCATGTCCTGACATGGCTTGGTGTAGTGCAGCATGGCACAGCTCAGCACAGCATGGCAAAGTATCAGACGGCACAGCACAGCATGGCAGGGCAGGCACAGCTCAGCACTGTGTGGTGTGGTGTAGCATGACGTGAGCATGGGACAGCACAGAACAGCAAAGCACACGCCCTGGCACAACTTAGTGTGGCACAGCAAGGCTCGGTGTGGCACAGTAAGAGCACGGTTCGGCACAGCATGTGGTAGAACATGGCACTGTCCGGCACAGCTCAGGATGGTGTGGCACTGTATGTCATGGTGTGGTACGGTATGAGGGTGGGACGGCACAGCACGGCACAATGTCCCGGCACAGCTCGGCGGGGTGTGACACGGCTCGGCGCGACCGCGGTACCTTGGCGTACTGCTCCTTGAGGGGCCCAGAGAGGCGCAGAATGGTGCAGACGTCGGGACCCAGCCTGTGGGAGAGGGGTAAGGGGGACGGGCACTGGCACCGGCTCCACTCGGCCAAGTCCCGGCCTCCCTGTCCTCTGGTACCATCTCCGCACCCCGCGCCTTCCCTGCCGTCACCCCTTGCCCCAGTCCCGCCCCGCCCGGTACCGGCTCCGCAGCTCCTCGGCCACGAAATCCTTCCCCGATTTTCTCTTCCCGCTCAGCAGCAGCACGGCGCGCGGCGCCGCCATAGGCGCCTCGTCCCCGCCCCGGCTCGCTGGCTCCGCCCCCCGGCAGGACGTGGGTGTCACGGCGCCCCCTCCCGGGCAAAGCCAGCGCCGCACCAAGGGTGCCCGCGAATGCCCGCGGGGTATGGCGGGTTCGTTCCCCCCAGGATCCTGTACCCCTAGCAGCCTTCTGCCTCCCTGCCCTCCCCTCCCCCAGCGCCCCCGCTTCCTTCTCACACCGTCCATTCTCCTCTGAAGCTCCCTTTCCCCAGCACCCTGCTCCTCCCAACATTTCCTTTCCTCCCAGCATCTGCATTCCCTCAGCACTCTTCCCCCAACCCTTATTCCTCTTCCGCACCTCGCTTTCTCCCAGCATCCATTTCTCCCAGTACCCCCTTTTATCTCCGAGCTCCGTTCCTCCTCAACATCCCTATGCCATCTCCGCACCCCACTTTTTCAAATGCCCCTCATTTCTTCCAGCACTCCTCTTTCCTCTTCTTCTCCCCCAGCAACCCCCTTCCCCTCCAACACACCATATTCCCCTCTGCCCTCCATTTTCATCTGCACCCCCTCTCCCCCAGCAGCCCTTCCTCCTCCCTTTTCTCTCACAGCACCTTCTTTGCCCACAGCACTCCAGTCCCTACTGCTCTCCCCTTAACACACCCTATTCCTCCTCTGAACCCCCATTTCCCCAGCTCTCTTCCCTCAGCACCCTTCCTTCCCCACCCCCAGCACCCCCATTTTCCCCACATCCACACAGCTATGCCCAGCAGTGACTTTATTCATGATGCAGCATCACACAGTGCATTTGGTTGGGGATGTGGCCCTACTTGACCCTACAGGGTGCAATGGTAGCCCCAAGACGCCCATAAACAGCACGTGGGGAGCCCTTGTGTGGGGGTGCTGGCACACTACAACACTGGCCCCCTGGCTCTACCCTTGCTTGCCATGCTGCCTTGGGGCTCTCTGGCTCCACACGTTCCTGGAGGTGCTGCAAGAGAAGGGGACGTGTGATGGGGTGCAGGAGGGAGGAATCCCTGGGGACCCCTGGCACCACCCACCCCAGCTCACCCACTGTAGTGCTGCAGCATGTACTCCTCGAAGTCATCAACCGCCTCCTTGTCGCCCAACTCCTGCCACGCTATCTCCTCAAGCATCTCCTCCACATCATCCACAAAATCGACAAACCGCAGGCGGTCATGGGCAAAGACACCGTCAGCCCTAAAGGCCCCATCAAGCCGCGATGCCAGCCTCCTATATTGTCCCCCCAAGCCCAACTGCCCCATGAAGGTCTCCAGCAGTTGCAGGAACTGCACCTTTTGCACTGGCTCCAGTGCAGCCCCAAGAACTTCCTGGCCCTCCTTCTGGGCACAGTCAGTCACCCCAGAACAGCCCTGTGGTGCCCGGTACTGCCTGAGCCGGGGCACCTCATGGGAACTATGCTGGGGGTGTCTGTGAGACACCTTCCCACAGGCTTTGCCTGGCTTGTGTTCACAGGCGGTTTGGGGATCCTTCTTGTGGGGTTTGCCATGCTCTCTCCTCTCCTGCTTGTGGGGGGACCCCTTAACGCCATGCTGTTTGTGCCACCTGCTCTCCTTCTCCACCTTGAATGGCTTCTTCCAGGGTGTGGAGAAGGACCCCAACCCCTCTGCCTCCAGCACCTGGGCCAGGTGCTGATCCAGGGTGCTTAGTTCCTCCACAAGCCCCTTGAAATCCTCAGAGCCCTGTATACGGTCCAGGGTGTCTGCTAGCTCCTGCCGCAATGAATTCAGACTGCCATGCCACCGTGCTGCGGCCTTGCTGTGCACTGGCGCACCTGTGGCATGTGGCTGCTCTGCTGTTGGCTCCCTGGTGCTGCCTGGTGCCCCTGTGGCCTGCAAGTGCCGCAGCTCAGCCCGGGCCTCCCGCAGTGCGATGACTTCCCGCTCCAGTGCCGCACGAAGCTGCGCATTTTCTGCAGCCAGACTCTGCTGCTGTGCTTCGGCTGCTGCCACCCCACGCTCACTCTTGTGCAGCAGTGCCCGCAGATCTTCTTTGTGGGCCTGGGGCAGGAGTGGGGGGGCTGTGAAAGAGGTGGCAGCAGGAGAGCAGCACCAGGACGCGGCACTGAGACATGGCACTGGGCACCAACCTGTAATTCTGCCTGCATGAGCCGGATCTCCTGGTTCTCTTTGGCCAGCTTGTCCAGGAGTTGGTTCATAGACTGCATGCTCTGTGGGCCCCCAGCATCTGGCAGAGGGGGCTTCTGCTGCGAGTCCTGGAGGACAGAAAGGTTGGGAGCCCTGAGAGCATTGAGGACACCCTCTGCCCTCACTGAGCCCTGCTTGAGACCCCTCCTTACATTGCTGTCTATAGACAACAGCGACTCCTGCTCCCCAGCAGCCAAGTCCCAGCTCTCCACACTCTCCACAGGGCCTGCAGAGGACATGGGTCCGAATGTCCAGGCTGCTGCAAGGTGTCCCACTGTCTGGCTGGGCTAGTTGCCTGTACTCACCATCTGCCATGTCATAGATACCACCTGGGGAGGAGGGGACAATCAGGAGGATATCTGGACCCCACCCTGTCCCTGGGTCCTTGGCTACTGGGAACCCCACTTACCAGTGATGATGAGCAGCCCCACAGCAACCAACGCCAAGACACCAAGCAGGTACTTGCTCATACTGAGCCCGTCATCACTGGTGTCTGCTGTCCCCCGGTGTGGGGCAGGCATGACAGTGGGGTGCCCAGGATGTGGCTTGTGGCCCTGCCGCCACCGCAGCCCCTCCATGCTATTGTCACTGCTGGTGCGGCACATGTCCTCCATTGCTGGCTCTAGGGGGAAACGGGGGGGGCCTCCAGGGAGGGTCTACACCTAAACACTGCCAGCACAGATTCCCTCAGGCCAGTCCCCTGTGAGACCCTGACCTGCTTGGGGGGTGTCAGGGAAGGGTTGTGGCTCAGCCTCAGCATTCAGCTCCTCCTGCTCATCGCCCTCCAATGTCCTGGGCTCTGCAGAGCCATCCAAGGCAGGCATTGCCCATGTGCTGAAGTCCTCACACTCCTCTGGGCTCTGCAGACACAGGCACTGGCACATGAGGTGTCCCAGTGTGGGGAACAGCACCAGTTCCAACTCAGCCCCAGCCCCCCCCAGTTCTGACTCACCCCCTGCTTGCTACCCTCAAGGCACAAGGTCTGGCTGGAGAAGGTAGTCACACCATTGGTGGCCATGGCTGGGGAGAGGCAGAGCATGGGGATGAGACAGTGGCACAAGAAGGTGACACCAGGCTTGCCTCATACCCACGGTGTCTGCCTGCCTGTGACTGTGTCCTGGGTGCCTTCATCCTCCTCCTGCGGTTCCTCATTGTCAGACCTGTGGGAGGTCGAGTCCTGCTCTGGACCCACTGTCTCAACGGGCAGACCCTAGGGGAAGTGGGACATGGGGAGACACCTTTAGCCCTGACCTTCATGTGCCCCACTCTGCCTGGAGCCTGAGGTAGGCTCTGGGGGGGGGGGGGGGGGGGGGGTGCGCGGGGGGGCCCC